GCCTATCACGGGCAGAGTTACCCTGCCCAGACGGGTCGAGCATGAGGACGCCAGCGGCCCCACGCCCTGCTGCGTGAGCACAGAAAGGCAGCGTCGCCCGCGAGGTGGGTCGGGGGCGCGCGGCAAGAAACACGGTCCTCACGCTGGTGGTCAGCAGCATCTTTCCTTCGAGGATCAACCAGCGGACAGTCTGTGACACCACAGGGCCTCTGCAAGCGCACAGCAGCGCCGTGAACTCCAGCCCCCCGGCGGGCTGCCAGCGGGCGGCCGGTGACGGCCACATCTGCACAGGCGCAGACGCGTGCGCACCACGCGAACGCCCGCCGGGGCCCTGAGTCCCCTCCCGTCATTAAGGGCCACTGTTCTTTCTTAGAGCAACTGACAACGGCAGCTAACTACGGGGCGTGTGCCAGGCACAGCCCACGTTCAATCTTCGTGGCAGGAATGTGAGCCAGGCTGCCGCCGTCGGCGCTCCGCAGACGGGAAACCCGGGGGAGGCCATCGAGCCTCCAGCAGTCAGAGCCGGGGCCACTCGCTCAGGGCCACCTCTTCACAGTGGAACGCGGGACTCGGTGGGGTCGGTGATCTCGGACTTAAACGCTGACAGCTCTTTAGCACAGGATTTTTCTCCAGGATCCTCCACCTCCGCTCCCAACCCTGCGTTAACTGCCTGGTGGACCCCTACTCGGGGTCCCAAGAGACATTCATCTCTAACACGGGTCCAGGTGACCCGGAACCGGCTCTGCCCCCTGCCAGGCTCGGGGAACGGGGCCTCCCGGGAGGTGGGCCTGAGCCAGCACAATCCCTTCCCTCACACCACCGCCGACCCTGAGTCCTGCTGCCTCCCCAGCCACCCGTCTGTCACAGGGGTGCCGAGCACCCCCAAAGCTGTGCCCAGCCGCTGTCCAGAACCAACACCATCCATTTCAACGAAGTCCAACCTGACATTGCTTCTACGTACAACGCCGATGATGTCACCCCCAGCCCAGGGCTCCCCACTGCCTGGGGGATAAAACTCACAGGTCCCAACACCGGTGTCTCCCCAGGCTCGAGTCCTGAGCTTCACCCACCTGCCCCGGCTGTCCCCGCTAAAAAACTGAACAAACACGCCCTTCCACCTGCAGGAGCTCCGGGCCCCAGGGCATGCTGCTGTTTTCCTGGCTAAACCCAGCCACTGACCTGAAAAGCCACTAATGCATGGAAAACACTTACCTCGTCTCCCTGGCAACCTGACTGTTGCCCCACCCAAAGTTACGGAGCCCGGCATGTCACAGATGCTCAGCAGACACTGTTACTGCAGAGTGACTACCGTAAGCTGGGCTCCCACGTTCCAGTTCGGTAATCCCGCAGCTGCTGTGTCCACCTAAACACGTCTGCTGACCTCAGATCTCACACCAAAAGAAGTATCACATGACTTAAAGACATAAAACGCCCCTGAGCCCCATCTGAAGCCCACGGGGAGAGAAAGCGTTGGATTCAAACGTGAACTGACGTTCGTAAAGCACACTCCACTCCCTGGACAAGAGCCTGGCGGTAAGCGCGCTGGGTCTCACCCCCGACGCAAACGCTGCGGAATTGCTCGGCGACTCCGTCACGTGCCCCAAACCCAACACACAGACCGCGACGTTGGCCGAGAAGGAAGGGCGCCAAGACGCGCCTCCCGCCGTCACCCACGTGTCGCTGTCGTCGGCAGAACCAGCTCTGCGTGAACACCAGAAGTCCCAGGCCTGCTCGGGACACCGGCCGTCAACCAGCAGCGAAAGCTACTCGGGAAGAAAAGGACCGAAGGGCTGGCAGAAGCCGTGATGGCGAGTGTGGCACGGAGCGGACCAGCTGCCCTCACGGGAGGCGCAGACGCCCGGCTCGGCACAGATGCTCAGCAGACACTGTTACTGCAGAGCGACCACGAGCACAGGGGGACGGGAGAGGGGCCGTCGACCGCCGAGGGCCTCGCACCGAGAGTGTCGGTGACCGAGCACGCAGCGCTGAGCCACTGTCCCTGGGGAACGAAGGGCTTCGCTGGGAGGAAGCACAGAGCAGCAGAAGTCGAGTTTATCGGGACGGAGGGCAGCAGTGGCACATGTCACCTCTGCTGCGATCCAGGATGAGTGACGCTCACGAAGCCCCAGCAGCACTGAAGCGACAGACACACAGCTCAGAGCAGCCCCGCCAATGTGCTGTGCGGACCGACTCCGCCCCACGGCAGGCAACTCAGACAGGCTCAGGCAGAATTAACACGCAGCGAACCAAGTGCTACGTGTCTGCAAAGAATCGCACAGTGACTCGCAGGTCCGCCCAGTGCCCCGGCCCACACTCGTGGGAGAGCCACGTCCTCGGTGGCTTTCACGGGTCGCCCGTGCACACAGGAACACTCCGGATGGACTCCGGCTGTAACTCAGTGTGTAGCTCTCCACTCGGGGTGTGACCCCCCAGACTACGCCCCACCAGCACATCAGCGACCTCTTGTGGCAAAGAAGAGTGTCACCTAATTCGAGCTGAGGTCACATGTGTCTGGAGATCTTTTAACTGGGCGTTAGGCAAGCTGTTATTTGTCTCATAAATTGTCGCGGCATCACGAAACAACTGCTTTACATTCTAAAAGTATGGGTTAAGAGAAACGAGCCACCACAAACAGTAGCGAACAGGCATTTCGTCAATGATGTACGAGAAAAGACGTTTAGAAACATAAGAATTCTAAAAACGCAACCAAAGAAAAGAAAAAGAAAGCCCATGATTAGGTCACATCCCTCCTGGGGCCAGTTCGATCCCTGGTTTGCGGGAGGCCCCGGGCAAAGCCGCGTCACACCTGTCGCCGTCCTCAAGGTGAGACCAGCGAGGATGTTCGAGGTCCCTCTGACGTCATCAGCGACCTCCTTGCTCCAACCCCGTTGCCCGGCCAATGACTACGTTTGCCGGGACAGGACACACTCTCCCGATGGGACCACCTGACAGGCGCCTGGGTAACCACGCCAGGGGCAAAGACACCCCTCTTCATGTACCAGGAGGAACATACAAGGGGGCGCGTCAGCTGCTACAGGGCGTTCGGAGGCAGCCGTGGGAAAGCGAGAACATCACACAGAAAAGCTTGTGGACGGACGAGAGGGCGTGTGACACTCTAAGAGGGACCGAGAGCTCTGAAACCACGTGCTCGCAGCCGGGGACAACACGGGACACCGCCTACCACAGGCGTGCGCCCCTGCAGAGGACAGTGCACCAGAGACATCGTCACCGTGCCCAGGTGCCCTGCCACGCTGTGTGGACACTGAACGGGCCACGTGCGGAGGTCACACGCCCAGGTGACACACACTGTGTGTGCGTGCACACACGCGTGTCTTTATCAGGGGACACAGTCATAGAACACCAAGTCAGGGACGTTTCTCACAGAGTGACACGAACACCGCTCTGAACAAAGCAGCCTGAGTGCAACGTCTCCTCGCGCAAACGTGTGCGCGGAGCAGCTGGGCGAGAGGCCTGCAGTGCAGCGCTTCAGCCGCCGCCCGTCACGCCCGGCGCCGCGGGAAGCGCCATCAGGGCTGCGCGTCACCACAGGCCGCCCTGGGGCCCTGGCTGAGTCACCGCCCACACGCCTGGGGCGCAGCCGCTGAAGCTCGGCGACCACGCCGGGGCCCAAACCGCCACCTGCTCAGACCTACTTGGTTGGGGGCATCAGCGGAGGGGGCCAGGACGTCAGCACCTCGGGGGCCACTGGACTCCAGCACCACTGCGGGAACAAGGGCGGCGTTAGCGGGCCCGCGCCCCCCTCCCAGCCCGGCGCCCG